AGTTGTAGATACGAAGGATCTGTACACGGATCCATTCAGAGCAAAGCCTCGTTCCTGGTTGTAGTCTATAGATGATGATAAGAGCTGAAAGTCATGTCCAMGTACAAAGCTGTGTTTTAGGAGGCATAGTGTGACAAGAGAATTGATTGTCCAAAATTTCTGCAACCAAASGACTGTGACAATTAATAAACTGAACTAAATACGACGCATTATTTATTATTGATAAAGTGAAGCAATCAAATTTAAAGTGTCAAAAGCGTCAATTAAAGTTCACGTTTTGAAGAATTAATKTTCGAATTTATGTCTGCTGAGTTTTGAAATATGAAACGAATCTTTTTGATCAAAACTCAAGGAAAGACTTGTATTCAATAGGAAAAGGYATTGATTGTAAAATTAGAGAATGGCTCCGAACTGATTAATAACTGTGGTAATGATTGGCTCCATTTCAATCTCGTACCCCGAGCCTTCGTTCTCTTGGCCAGCGCCCAATTAAACCTGTGTTTGTCGACGGCGCTGGCCAAGAAAAACGAAGGCTCGGGGTACGAGATTGGCTCCATATAGTCTCYATTTTCAATAAGTAAGCAAGAAACCCAGCAAGTGAAATTTTGTAAGTTAAACCGAGCAACCGTAGTCTCAATTTATGGTCATCGTCCCGACAATGTCAGTTTTGAAATAAGTGTATAACTGACGGTAAATCTAGTAGTCGATATAGTCGAACTCTCATGAAAGTTTATTATACACCTATATAGTCGGCGTATGGATTGTTTATGTAAGATTTCTGCATCATGGGACCTACACAAGTAATGTTTTCTGGAGGAATTATAAGTTCAGCAGTTTATGCACTAGATAGCTGAGCTATTTCACCAGTGCTCGAAATAACGGCCGRTCAATGGTTAATGTCCAGGAGGAGCCGAGGGGTTCCTGGGAGAAATATATCTGTTCTTATSTCCCAGCCAGCTATAAGTCACAACTGGTTGGCAGCGAGAAATTCAGGAAAAAAAGAAYTCTCCAGGCAAGGAATACTTTCTAAGAATTTTTGCCAGGAACATAAAAWAATTCCTAACTAAAAATATATAAGCCGTTTTTGACCTTAAAAAACGTTTGTCAGGAACAAAATTATTTTAAAGAAGGAAGGGCGGCACATTTCCTTTTGACATTGTCAACAATGTAGCTCAAAATCCCTTTCCCAGGAAAAMAATCGTATAATAGACCCCGTCGGCTCCTCCTGAATGTCCGGCCAAAAWTTCAAATCAAGTTTATGCCGGTCAACTTGACTGGTCACAATTTCATAGCATGCAGACTAATTATTAGGAAGACGAAATAAAACAGCAAAGCTGCGATTTGCCTAGTAAATCTGACCATTCATTTCATCGCGGCTTGTTTTTGTTCTGAAAAAAATTTAGTTGCTAGTAAAATTCAAACTCTAGACATTGCGTCTCAATGCCTCCGACTGTTTGTGTGTAGCCTTGAAAACTCGCTGTTTCCATTCCTTAGACTTTGAGATCACAAATGGTTAAATTTATCGATGAATTTAGTACTAAATGAAAATAATKGACTCAGCGGCCTGTTCCTAAATCTTCGTCATGAACAGAGCGTAAAGTGGGGTCGAGAAAATGCTAAATACCGTTGTATACAATGTGCTGTAKCCTGTCTAGCAAACACTCCCGGTTATAGCGAAGAAAGTGCCCTAATTCCTGTTTCAGTAATCTTTTTCTAGCACTGCAATAGTTCTTGTGGAATAAACCGACTTTTCGCGTKTTTTGCACCAATAGACATGTAAGCAATGATCTTCAAAAGGGCAATAATGATATATTAAACATCTTATAAACTGAGGCGTTACGATGGCCACGCCCTTTTTCATATGGTCTATAGTTACTTTCGGTCGTGCATTCGCCCCGAACGAAAAACGTTTTTGAAATAGCTATATCTGTCTATCTTTAAGTATTACTGAGCTCTGCTCAAGTCATTATTTTCAATAAATGTACCTTCATTGTAGCKATAAAACCTTAATTCTCTTCTTCTACCATATATTAAGCAGATTAGCGAGTTCCAAGTAGATGTCAGAATGTTACTACTAGCAATTATCGAATTCTGATATATTGCTCTTCTAGCTCTMGATCTTTCTTAAACTGACAAGATAAATTAATGATCGTCTAGACAGTTTTGGAAATAACGTTTTTGAAGATTAGTCACTTCAGTGTCCAATTTGTGTCTTGATATGCAGCAGGGAAAATCGTTTATTTGTGTGAACCCATGCTGGGTTGTTTTGGACCGTATTGTTCTTGTGAAAAGAASTGCTTGTTACGTAATAACTCGGCCTACGTATTTTTTATTTCTTGCTCAAAACTTCAGCAAGTTGATAAGRACTATTTCAATCAAACTCTCAATAGATTGAAATATCTGTCATAACAATTTCATAACAACTTTATTTGGGACCGTTTTATTCTTGCCAA